CCTCTCCTGCTCGTCCTTCCTCTGCTTCTCCATCCTCTCCAACTGCTCGAAGAAGCGCAGCTGAGAGCGGACGTCGGCGTTCTGCTCGTAGTACTCGTCGTCCTGACAGGAGACAGAGGATCAGAGCAACGTTAGTGGTTAAAAACTGCTTCACCTGTTGTGAAGAAAAAAAGTTTTTCAACATTGGCCTCGATTTCAACAGCAAGACTGAACGACTAAACAGAATAAATAACAATAAAAACACGTACAATAAAGAAATAAATGACGTATTCAGAAAGGAGTGAGAAGAAGCGTAGCGTGTTAGCTCCCACCTCTTAATAAAAAAATAAAATAATTAAAGAAAAAAGTAAATATATTTTCAAAGATCCACAAGAAAATTCAAATAAAAATATCATGTTTGCTTTTCTTTCTCTGTGTGTAATAAATACAATGTGTTTCAGACATTAATTAACTGTGACTTCAACATCAACCAAACTTGTTTTACTCATAATTGACCATCACTGTTCCACAGAGAGTTTCAGTTTTATCTACATGTATTTATTTTGTATTTATTTATTTCCACAATAATGTAATCTTCAGATTTTATCCTGCATTAAATTATTCTGCTGTTTTGCAGTAAACTTGTCGAAGGACAAGTTTTTCACCTCAGACTGTAGCAAAACAAAGAATCAGAGAAAGCACAACCGACGTTTGCCCAAATATGTATCTGCCCCGTGACAAACTGCAGGTGTGGTAAACCAAGGCGACCGGAGCGTCAAAAAAACTATTTTATTTACAGACTTAGCTGCTTTTCTTTGCATTGCGAGCGTCGCCTCCCACTGGGAGAAAGAGAAGAAAACTTTTACGGGTCATCAAAAGTTAATGGGATAATTTTTTTTTTTATTATTATTCCACAAGTTTCTGCATGTTTGAGTCTGTGCATCTGCAGCAGGATTTCAACATCTCTGACTTTCACTGTGTGTGTTTGTGTGCAAGAAAACGGATGGCACAAAACACAAAGGGTTAGATCAGAGAAGGTTCATCTCCACAGCCCCCTCCTCCCGCCTCCTCCCCCCTTCAGTCACCCCCTTGTCTTTGTTGCAGCGCTGAGCACTGCACTCCTGCCACAGATCCTTCCATCGCCGCCTCAGCCCAGCTGCTCTTTAGGGCCGTTTCGTCTCTGGGTCTCTTTTCTTTTCCGTCTTTCTCATGTGTGTGCTCTTGATTTTTTTTTTTTTTTTTCGCTGATGTCAACAAGAGTGGCTTCACAGAACGCCGTGTCTTTTGCATGCACCTCGTTTTCAAAACCGCAAAAGAGGAAAAAAAAAAAAGAACTTGGAAAAAAAACTTGGAAAAAAAGAGAAAAAAAAAAAAGAATGAACTTGGAAAAAAAAGGGAAAGGCACAAAACAAGACGAGGACACTTGAAACAAACTTCCTTCCTGCCGCCTGCTCCTCCTGCCGCTTTGGAAACAGGAAAGACGCGTTGTGAAAGTTTTCTCCAACAACGCCAAGACTTTGGCTTCTAATGAATCCCAATTATGTGTAGGTGCGCGGTTACAGTGGAGAGCCAGGATCGTGTGTGTGCAGGTCTGCACTGACATCCGTCAAAGGACTTCTATCTACACATATAGAGCACATTTATATATATATATATATATAAATACACACATATATCATACATGACTGACTGTAAAGATCCTCGTCTGTTTACCATCTTAACACTGAAGGCAGTTTCTTGGCTTTTACAGATTATGAGCGACTGTAAAACGTATTTAGTGTCACCGTGAGTCAGGGTGAACATTTTTAAATCAGAAAAATATCTGATCTTTCAATGTTCTTTGTCATTATTTTAGTAAAGTCTTGTGTGTGTACTGACATCATTTAAACTAATTGACTTCTTTCTTTGTCAAACAATGAACAAATAAAAATAATTCATTCTATTTGTTAACCATAAATAACAAATAACACATTTTCTGTCACTCAACTCGTCCTTTTAAAGTTGCACTTTCTAAATGTGTCCTATTCATGCTGCATCAAAAAAGACAGCGTGACCAAAGGCTGCTAACAGTCAACAGTCACAGTTTTACGATTTTTTTCCTCTTCGTGACGTCAGACATTTTTATTAGGGACAGATCTGGACGGAGCAGCGTAGACGGTGTGAGACTGACGTCCCAGCGCGTGAACAACAGACGCTCTTAAATTTCACACACATACAAGTTTGACAGACTACTGTAGTGGACCTCCAAGATAAAGTGGAGCCACAGGCCACATCATCAGCCCGACCTTTGGGAGACGCTGCCTTAATGCCCAGTCTTTAGGACCAAATGTGTCCGACCTTCACTTGTTGATTTTTAATCTAAAAACTACAGTCACTGCACCAACATTTTAGAGAGAGTGCAGTCAAATTTTCAAGTTTTCAAAATCAAGTTTGTGTAAAAACATTTCTGGACTCGGCAGCAAAATCAACCAGAGTTTTTTTTTTTTTGTGATGTTAATCCAAGGTTTGTTTGTTTTTTTTAAGTTATAATTCTTCCCCAAAATCATATTTCTGCTCCTATTGATTTTGTGGCAACTCTTGTACTCAACCATTCTGAAATTAGAAAAACGGTGCAATGGTCAACACTTGGTCAACACCCAGCGGAGGCCGAGGTCTCAGCAGGTTTTTATCGTCCACTCTCAGTGTGTGTCAGGTGAAGGTGATTAAACCCTGGTTTGCACGCGGTTCAATATGAAACTTGTTCTGAGAATTAGTTCTACAAATTGTGGTATGTGTGAGAATGAGGGGGGAGGTGGGGGTCACGGGGGAGGGAGGGTCACGGGGGAGGGAGGGTGTTACAGTAGAGCAGCCAGTAGAGGAGGTTTATGCTGGTGATTAAATCGGAGCAGAGATAGATATGCTGATGGGGGCAGTAACTGCGGTTAAAGGCCCGGTGAAACCAGCGCTTCAATTATTTCCAGTGGAATCACAACAATTAGTGGATGTGCTTACTGGGCAAAGTGAATCCACACAAAGTTACGACATCAAGTTTAGGTTTGGTGCAGCAGAAACTGCGACACATCGTACAGACACGACACAACGCAGATAAAGTAACGACGTCTGAATATGAACGACTGAAAACTACCGTCCCGACGTCAACCATCGACAACCGTCACCCCCGTCACCATGAAAAGGACTGATTAGTAGAAAATGGACGGATTGGACTTTAGGTCAGGGGTGTCAAATATACAGCCCGCGGGCCAAAACCGGACCGCTACTTGGTCCTAACCGGTCCGCTTGATAAATTTTGAAAGTGAAAAAAAATCTCATGTTGGTGATGTTTGGAAAAATTATATTTAATTAAATATGAACATTTATTAATATATTAATGTATTGATCTGCAGGAAAAAAAAACTAACGAGCGAAAACATGGACTTACTGTTATTTCTAGGTAATTATGTTGGTATTGATCTGCAGGAAAACAAAGAAAAATTTTAAATGTTGTTTCTAGGTAATCATGTTTGTACTGGTCCGGCCCAGTTCACATCTACTCTGTAGAGTTTGAAACCCCTGCTTTAGGTGTTATGTTCACACAGTTATATCAGTAAAGAGTATTTACAACACGACGTACGTACGTTCAAAACAGACTAGTGCCATTTTACAGGACTTTCAGAGCTTTGACAAAACGCCTCCAGCGAAGAGGAACATTTAAATTCTCATCTCCCTTATTATATATTAATAACGCAATGAACTTATTATGGTAAGTGCTCAGGTAACTGCTTTTTTGTTGTGTGTGAATCTACTCACCTTACAGGAGTCCAGTCGATGCTGGGCGATCGTAGAGACCTTTTCTACCACCGTGCGGAGACGTGACTGCGTGGCGTGTGAGATGAACGTTACTGCCTCCATGGGGACATCCGTGACTCCGAACTTCTTGGCTGCGCACAAATAAAAACAACTATTAGTCAATTAGACTGTGGTTGCATTATTACGGACATCTAGTCTCTGGGTTCACTGACCCACAGTGACCCACAGGCCAGAGGTTTGAGACCTCAAATTAAGTCTGTCCTAATCCCCCAAAACGGCATGTACTTGTACTGTGGGAGTAAACTAGAGTGTTGTTTCCCAAACACCAAAAGAGATTTTTTTCATCTCATCATCATCGTTTCCCAGGAGTTTATAGATAATGTCTATTGACTTGGGTCGTGAAGGTTTGTGAGTTTTAAAATATGGGTCCCCAGAAAACAAGTTTGTGAAACACTGAACTACGGGTCCATGTGTAACATATTACGAGTGCAGGTGTTCAGTCCTCGTACTGAGGAGTGAATGAGCAAATTTATCTTCAAATTTATGGGAGATGAGGACAAAAACACAACACGACCTGGGCTGAGGTCGTCGTAAACCGATGTAGATCAGCTCAAAGATCAGTCAGAAGTTCCAACCATACACATCTACTGTATCCAGACACAGTGTAGTCTGTCAGAGGGCAGTTAACTCCCAGTCACAGAACAACCATCAGACAGAAAACTTCATTTGTTTCATACTCTGTGAGAGGCTGTAGCAGCTGAGCTCCTTCAAGTGTGTAAACAACAGTGACCATCTCTCTCTCTCACTCTCTCTTTCTCTCTTTTTTTTTTTTTTTTTTTTTTGTCGGAGGATAATTTAGTTTCCCTAGAGCAAAACTCATCTGAAGTCATAACAAAAGAGTAGGGAGCTGACTTTGGTAGGATAACTATCTGTTCCCAGCTTCCTCTTAAATTATTCCATTAACATAATTCCTCTCTGGCAGCCTTTTAAGTAAACCACACCAATTATTTAAATCAGCCGAACAATACATATACTCCTCAGCAGCTCCAGTTTTGAAACACATGAAGGGAGCCCTGTTAGCCTTAATGGAATGCAGTGGCAACAGGAGTGGCAACGGCGCGAGGTCAGAGGCAAAAATAAAAAATAATAAAAAAACACTAATAGGCTTTGTTCTCGTTTGAAAATATATCTTTCACAGACTTTAACATTTCAAAGAAAGTTTAAGAGAATTAACTAAAGGAGGAGGAAGAGAAAAAAAACACATTCTTTATCATGTGATCATTATCAGGAACTAAAGACGAGGCCACAGACAAACTAACGAGCTGGGATTAAACGTTGACTTCAGGACCTGCACCTTTATTCAAATAATACGTGTAATAATTCATTAACTCACTAATTGAGGATACTACTCTACTACTACTATAACTATTAACTAACATTGTTGTAACATTTACATTTTTTTTCCTTTATATTTTTCTTGTTTTATGTATTTTCTTTTATACTGTATATACTTTATTTACTCCTTTTTTAACTTTATTTTATCATATATTTCAATTGATTGACTGATTCATTTGACATAATCCTACATGTATTTGGACTCTGGGAGAAAATAGCAAAGAAAAACAAAGTGTGTGAGTCTCTAGTAATCTTCAGTCTCACTTTTTTAGCGTTTAAATCTTTCGTCTTGTTTTTAGGCATCATGGGAAAAAACCATGTGGATTTCAGTTTGAATGTTTACGGCTGATATTTCTGTTGATGCAGGTTGTATAATAAAGTTTCCTCCTTTCTCCTCCACTTGCATCATCTAATCTGGACCTCCACCACACTGACCCATTACACTGTTACTGGGACTGATTTATGAGCCTGTTTATCTCACATGTAACCAACACTGGGCCTCAGTGGATTTGCCTTCGTGGCTGCGTCATCATATTTTTGGCTTGAATCTGGTATTGGAGAGAGTCGAACTTTTAGCATTTGACGTGTTTTCCACTGGTAAATTAAGGCAATAGTACATAATCAGGAGCCATAGGTGAATATTTCTGTTCCTAAACTCCCATCACACACAAAAAAAATATTTCTGTTCCTAAACTCCCATCACACAAAAATAAAACTTAATATACTCATTTACTTTAAATTACACAAATAGCTTCACTGTGCATCCAAGTCTGAATATGTATTTAGACAAGAACTGACTGGTATCCATGGCAACAAGGGTCCCCAGAAAATGCAGATGGCAATGAAAAAACAGAGAGAAGGTCCGGAACCAGCATCTGTGCAGGGTTTAACTACCATCGTACTTTTCATCTTTTGAAAAATGTGCTGTTGTTGCCGCTTTTGGCATAACATGAAAAGTCTGCTTATAAATACGTAACGATCTAACTGGAATGACCCCGGTCCTGGTCTGGATCTTGATCTCCATCCCTGCTGACAAAGATAAACTCAGCTGAAAATGTCTCAACTGCTAATCGCGAGTCAAGGTCTATTAAAGCCATAAGGGGTTGCTCTATTTTCAAACAGCAGCATGCCAACGCCTCAAGTCATATCCTTGTCCCAGTCCCCACCCACCTTCTACAGTGTGCACTGCTTCATATGTTGCCAAGTATAAAACAAGTCTTTCCCTGAAAACAAAAAAACCCGAATAAACAAAAAGCTGGACACATGGCTCCCAGCAGCAACCACAGAACTCCCCACGACCACTGCAAAGGTGAAGATGTTTGGAGCAGATCTAACCACACACTGTACATCAGAAATACAACATTACAACTGAGTTGAAAAGTGAATGGACGCACATCTGGAACGGCCTCGTTCTCCACGATAGTGAGTTGACAGAAAAAAACACTTCCCTGAAGAGAAGACTCTGTGTCCTCTGTCCAAGCTCCTTCAGAGGAGGATCTCCTTCTTACAGAGCGATTCCATTCATAAAGACAAATAATGAAACGATTCAACAAACAACAGTCACACAAGGAGTCTCAGGTCATACTGAACTTCATCAACTGGTGGCCCGCAGGCCAAATCTGGCCCATGACCCAGATGAATTCTGGTCAGATAAAAACCTGTGTCGAGCCGTGTCTCCTGTGTATGTAAATGTATTTCTCTGTTAGTGTGTGGCTGCACAAATCAATAATTAAGTTATTATTGATTAATATTTTGTTAAATAACTCTCTGTGTTAATTAATTAATCTAATTTTATTTCTCTGTTCTGATGATAATGAGCTCAGAGGATTATGAAGGGAGAGATTTTTAGTTTTGGGAGTTGATAAAAATCAAAGAGGAGCTGACAGCAGTAAGATTCATCTTTTCTGCTCCCTGACTTGATACAAGTGTGACATGTAAGGACACAGGTGCCGCCCAGTGACCCCTCTCCTGGGGTAAACATAGGTAAAAAAGCAAAGAAACACAGAGTGAGACTTTGTCGCTGCTCCGCGAAGAAAGAGTTGCAGCCGAGACTTGGGTCGAGTCTGATTGAGCGGAGCTGGCAGGCCGCGGGAGCCTCCCTCCGACTGCTGTCATCTGGGAGCGCGGAGAGGCCGATCACTGACAGAACAAAGCTGCATAAGTGCCACTTCCCCAGCAGGGGGTGCCCTACCCTCCTGCCCGGTATCACGCTGTGTGCCTTAGCCTCAGGTGGAATTTGAATCTTAAACAACCCCTCTGCCCGAAGGTGACGGAATAACAAGCAAGCCAGGAGTCCAGTCCACATGACCAAACACGACCCGCAGGTCTTGCACTGCATTGAAAATACTTTTTTACTTAGATGAGTACATGAAAAAGCACTTTTCTAAAGTAATTAAATTTGTCACGTTTTCCCTCTTAACTTTTACTATTTAGTCGGAACCAAACGCGGTTTTACGTCACACGATTGGCTCGACGGGTGGCCGACGGCCGGTGTTCTTCCAGCACCGTTTCCATCATGTTTGGCTTCAAAATAAACTGTTTCTATCCGCATCGATCGGCAGATGCAATATTATGTGCAAGTGTCAAGAAGCAGTTAAAAGAAATGTGGCTGCCGTGTCTCATCCCTCTAAACTCCGTTCCTTTGGACCAGAGGACAATCTGACAGGCAGCCTTCAAAAGACAAACCCATAAAGTATTTATGTGCGAGCCCGGGGTCCAGTGATTTCAGACAGCCGCTGAAGAAATCATTAAAGGGGCTGAAAGAATAGCTAAGTGTTATCAAATTTAAACTGAGGCCAAACAAGAGAAGTCTCAGTCTGAACCACGGACAGAAATAAATTCAAACTGTGTTTTTGAGATGACGCTACACACGCGCAGAAAAAAACAAAACAAGTTCCTTATGTAAGGAGACAACAGATACAAGACCTCATACTCAGTGGCTGGTTGTTCTCTTCTTTTCAGGTAAAAAAAAATGGCTGTAAGAAATGTTCAGCATTTGAAAAAAATGTGTCTCTTGAAACACCCGCAGCTCTTTATATTTAGCAGTTAGCATCGCACACAGTGAATCCTCCCAGCTTTTTTTATCACTTCAACTGCAACAAGCTGGCGCTCATCCCAGCTAATCTCAAGAAGTAGATAAAATCATGTCAACAAACTAAAAAAAAAAACGCTCCCAATGATTTACAGCACGTTTGTCAAACCTAAGGCCCATGGGCCAAATCTGGCCCGCCTCATTATTTTAAGTGGCCCAGCAGAGCTCAGCATAAAATATGGGTATTTTAAAATAAAAGTTTGTAGAAGAGAGTCTACACTAAGATGTGTGCGATGCTATGATTCAAAACCCATTCCTATTTGGCCCGTAATTTAGACTGTTTTAAAATTTGGCCCCTGATCGAAGTAGAAGAGAGTCTACACTAAGATGTGTACGATGCTATGATTCAAAGCCCATCCCTATTTTAATTGCAGAACATGTCGTTCAGTAAATGTTAATACTGATTGGCCCATAATTCTTTGAGTTTGACAGTTTTGGATTTTGACACATTGAATAAAAAAGCCCTGAGTTTTGAGAAGAAGCAAACATTTGATGCTCTCCTTGTGAGGTAACAACGTTAGCCGTTGTTGCCAGCGTGTGACCACGTCCCATACCTGTTTCCAGAATCCGTCTGTGTAGCAGTCCTGGATGGAGAAAGGCCTCGTCTTTACACGAGCGGATCTGAGTTCCCACAAGTTCTGAGTTGGTGGCAAGTATTCTGGCACTCTCCTCGTTCAGGTTAACTCCAGCCATGGACGCCACATCGTTAATGTCGTCATCATCCCTGTAACATAAAACACTCGATATTAACGTACCGTCAAAACTGAAGAGTGACTAAAGCTAATGGTCATTGTTGACACTTGGAAAACACCTCAAGTTGGAAAATTTCATTTGGAGACTATTTCTCACATTGTTTCTGCAAGTCATTTCTCTGGACCTTAAAGGTCTTGTATTAAAATAAAATTAAAAAAACTCTACCAGCAGAGGGCCTCAGCTGAACAGAGCCATGTTTACCAGCAGCAGAGATATAACTGAGAATATATATAGATATAACCTTTTTTAAAAAAAACTACAATCAAACAACAGTTTACTGCATGCAGACATATGGAACATATGGGATGTAAAAAAAGCGTTGACCATTAAAAATATTAGAATATAAATTTAACGTCTCGTGTTAGTTTGTCGATATTTGCAGAAAGAAAATTATTTAAAACTGGTTTCAAAACATTTCTTCTTTTCTTTTTACTGACTAAATTTACATATTTTTAAACCGACAAAAACACAATGTTGGGTGATTTTTTTTTTTTTTACATTTGTTTTGTTACAAAATGTTCCAAAGGATCAGCGCGGAACAATAATGAACCTGGCCATACGCTGATGTTATTTACACGAGGATCTGAACAGCTTGACAGTGGACTTTATGATACACCACAGCTGCAGTATTCATTCTCCAATATTTATATTAGATGAGACAGATGTAAGGAGAGCGCCCCCCTCTGCCCCCCCTCACTGGCTCACCTCCACCACCAACCACTTCTACTTCCGTGCCACTGCTGTTGGTTTGGACAGAGCCTGGTGTGTGTTGTTACTGTGGGTTTGTATGTATGTACAATGTGGACCCTGGATTCTTTCAAGTGCCTCACAGCACACACACACACACACACACCGTCAGCCCACTGAGGCCCTACCGCTCCTCGCTGTGGCCCCACAGTGGATGAGACTTGACACTACAGCGGGAGGTTGACAAAGACGATTAGAGCAGCTCTTTTTGGACCTCACACACCTCAACGTTCACCTCTCTCCTCCTCCTCCTCTCCTTCAGCCTAACTTTGACTTGGAGCACGGATACATAGGATTACAGTTGCACCGTTGCACCTCAGGCAGTGCAGTGTTTGTCACAATGTCCTTGAGGATAACTTTAACTGTCCTGAACGAAAAACCAGCCCCAGGTGATGTTCAGTCAGACAAAAAGGAGTTCAAATCCGTCGGTCGGTTGGATCTATGTAAATAAAGGAAAAAGTAAAGATCTCTTCTACGTAAAGCACCAGATAACGTCAACGTTATCGCTGCTCCAAACAGGAAGAAAAGACTCAAAATAGAGTGCGTCTGTGTCTGTGAGTAGATGAGTTTAAGGATTAAAAAAACAAAATGTCCAGGTTTAAGATGTTAAGAAAAAGGTTGAACTGAGAGTTTCGACTAAAAAGAAACAAATGACTGAGACATTTATATATATATATATATATATATCTGATGGTGTGCTGTTATTCTTGTCTTGTTCTTGTGTGTCTGTACTGCTGCTGTAGTTTAAATTTCCTGAAGGGAATTATAAAAATAAAAATCTATCCATCGATCGATCTAATTCCTCAAACAGTACAAACTGGTCTAAAATGAATGTTTTTTTTTCTGCTCTTCGCATCATAAAACAATATAAATATTAAGGTCATTATGTTTAGAAACCAAAAAATATTTCACATCGACTTCCTGTCTTCCAAGTTTTAAGTAACACAAAAATCTCAATTCACGAGAGAAATGTTAAAACGGTGCACATGAAAAGTGCAGGGGGTCATAAAACATTGAGAACACTAGTAAAATTATGGGTAATAACATTTCATTTTCTTAGGTTGGATTTCTGAGGGTATGCACAATCGCTCAAATCAAACCAGAGAACCAATGACAGGTGTGACATTAAAAGGAGGGAATGAGATATGAAATGCAAACCAGTCCTGACTGTAGCTCTGAACTAATAAAGCAGAGATGTAATTAGCTTTCACAGAAGCAAAAAGAAGAAAAAAAAGAAAGCAGTGGATTGGTTTGGCCCGAGGACACGGAGCCGGCAGACACGTGAATACATATGCATGTGGTTTCCATATCAAGCTCGTGTCTCGGCGAGGGCACGCCATAGGTGGTGGGAGGACTCCGCTAACCACGGGGAGAGATGGTGTGGAGAGATGGAGGTGGATTCAGATGAGTCTCCTCACATTCACCACCACCACCCAGGCCGACCACGGCTGTGCCCACACCGAGACCAGAGACGTGAACCCACTGTGGAGATGCTGTAAACCAAACAACCTGCCGTTCATGATCCTCCTGATCCTAAAGACGGCAATTTAACATTTCTATGAAGACGTTTTCATATAAACAATGATCACATAAGTAACTGTAGACCAGCCGCAATCTCAGAGGAAGCAAATATGCTATGGAGCCTCTAGTGGCACGACTCACGCTGTGAATTTTGTGGGACAAATAAGGGACTAATATTTTTTAAAAATGTGTCCGTAGAAATAAAGACATATTAACAATAGAGGGAGGAGCTCCACCTTAACTGGAGTAAAGGTAACAGTTGGTGGAGCTAATGCATATTCCCATAGGTCAGTCACATAATAGCTGCGTGTGTGTGTGTGTGTGTGTGTGCTGCAGATGCCGGTGTTAGCACTGTTTCCCAAACATAAATAAACCAGCGGTTCACCACTGGAAACTGTCAGAGTCTGTGAATCAAAATAAAGAAATAAAGTTCTGTGGCCATTAAGTTCAATTAAAACTTCAAAACGATTTTAACAGAAATAAACATGATCTCTGTCAAATATTTTCGGTTGAAAACATTGAAGCACGTTTGCAGTTTCGACCTTCTACTGAGTTCATCTCCACCAGGCAGACGTCCAATCACAGAAGACAGTTCTGTTCACATGGAGGACTGTTGTGCACCGCCTTAAATTAATCACCAGGACTTTGATAGTGACCATTTACCATAATAGTCTGTTTTGATATTTCTTACAAATATATCATTAAGGTGATAAAACTAAGGTGTTTTTCCCCGTTGCACCACTAGGATAAATCACCTGATCTTATCCCAAACACGTGTAACTGTGACGTATCAATGTTTCAACAATTCTGGGAGCTCACCTTTACCAACGGTTTGTTTCACATCGGTCGTGTGTATTAAAGTTCTTCCGACAGGGGGTAAAGATGTTGAATGCTAACGGACACGTGCAGATGTGTGTTCAGGTTGCAGCAGAAAGTGGGATAAGAAGGGCTGAGGCTGAGCTTGGAGGTTGGCAGGAGGGCTGAGGCCCAGGAGTGGCCCGCCTGTGATTACAGCGGATGTTGAGTGTTTACAGAGAAATGTGGAGAGGAGGAGGAGGAGGAGGAGGAGGAGGAGGAGGGGGTAACAGAGACAGCTGCTTTCATTCTGTACTGTAAACCACGCACACACACTGAGGCGAGCACTAAAACAGAGGAGTTTAGCCGTACTGGAAACCCCACAAGCCCTGCAGTGTGTTTGTGTGTGTTTGTGTGTGTTTGTGTGTGTTTGTGCTACAGCTGGTCCACTGGGACCAGTGGCTCAGAGTGACAGCCGTACAGACATCAGACCACAACTGGAGCTGAACATGCACAGTGCACAGTGCACACTGGGTGGGAGGACTGTGGTGAATGATGACTGGTCAGGGACGGAGACTCCGCCTTCACCTGATCGTTTTGTGAATTTCTATCAAAAAGTGCTTCATGAATTTTGGCCTTTACTGTATATGGACCATGCACTTCACATTTTCTGTAATGTCATCCAGCACAGTGTCTGGTTTATATCCTGGTGACAGAAAAACAACTGTGAACCATAAACAGTGCGGGGCCACAGGATGACAAAACAAAACTGTGTCACGAGGAAAAAGAAGGAGTAGAAGCTGAAATCTTTATTGGAGCTAACTGTTAACAAGCTATACTGAAAAGAAAAGTAATTATGTTAAAGGTGGATTGTGCACGTAAGTTGCTTAAAAATACATTATAGCATCATAAAATGTATCTTGATGTAACTTAAAGGCCACGGCACAAATTAAACATAACGATAAAATGGTTTTTAATTTACTCACTCCTTAAACCTGGGCCTGTTTAGTTGAACACATTGCTGATTTACTCAAAGGAGTTGAAGAAAGACACACCAAGACATTCTTCAACAGTTGGTCAACACTGTTCTTTAGTTTATATAGCCATCTGCTGCCACCTAGTGCTAGAGTATTAAATTGTTTTGCATGTCACAGATAGCCATCTGCTGCCACCTAGTGCTAGAATATTAAATTGTTTTGCATGTTGCGATGAATAAAGATCAAAAATAAATCAATACATTTTGGTAACTTTAAAAATAATTAATAAAATTACCAATTTTATGAATAAAGGTCAAGAACAAATCAATACATTTTGGTAACTTTTTTTAAATTAAAATTTAATAAAATTACCAGTATTGTTTTACCTCCTAACCAAACAAAGGCACATCCGACAGCCATAAATATCCCGTACGTTTGTCCTAGCCTTATTGGGTTTATATTGAAAGCGGTGAGATGGCGTACGATGGGGCCCATCGCAATGACTGCGGGGGGAAAAAAGGTCGTCAGTAAAGAGCGGGTCTGACAATTTAATTACCATTGGGGCTAAAGATTTATTGATTAATCAATTACAGCCTGGGGGCGCCGCTGTTCCCCCCAGGACACGTAACAACCATTACCATGAACCCTGTCGCTGTCGTGTGACCCCAGACTCCTGCCCTTGCACGGTCACATCAGGGCAATCCCAAAACCACAGTGCATGCAGTGTTATTGTGTGTACAGTACACTCTCTCTCTCTCTCACACACACACACACAAACACACACACACAAACACATGCATTTAATCTGGAGACACTCAGTATACACGTACTGTGTGTTCATGTGCACCCAAGCAGGGACGCAAACACAAACACAGAGAAAAAGAGGTATTCACACACACACACACACACACACACACACGATTACTAATATGAGTCATACAAAACATGGACCACAAAGGCCTGCATGAGAACCTTTTATGTTATGAGAAAAAAAAAAGCCCTGCTGAAAAAAAAAGAAACAACGACCGTGGAAAAAAAGAGAGAGAAAAGAGTAGAAAAAAGGAAAAGATGGAGCACAAGAAAGATGGAGGGAGGGGGGGGGGCGCTGCTGCGGGCTAAATACCGTATGGTTGACTTAAACAAAAGGTATTTTCAGAGCTGCGTCCAGAAATTCCAGCCATCTGGACACAATTATCTTATTTCTAAATTAAGATTTTGCTCATTTCTAATCCTGTCAATGAGTTATGACTGTTCCACTAGGGGGTGATTTTGAGGGGTGGGGGGGGGCGCTGCTGGCTGGCTGTGTGTTGTTATGTGGTTGGCCAGGAACATAGGAAGGGTGAGGTCAGGTGGGGAGGGTGGGGGGGGCAATGATGTACCGGTCAGGTGGGCAGGCTGGGGATAAACACTCACTGCCTTAGCTGAGAGTGTAGCCCGTGGTCATGCCGGGCCATTTAAGTGAAATGTTGCCCCCATGTGACGGCTGCTGGGAACAACAGGTGCTCGGTGATCCCGACTGAACGTTGTACCTGAACGAGCCTCCTCCGGGGTCATTGAGCTTGTTTTTCTGATTCCCGGAGATTTGAACCGCCATTCCCATGGCACCTCTCCCCGCTTGGATGACGGCCCCCTTCCCTATTGTCCCTGTGAAAATGAATACAGAAACGACATCTTTATTCGCTGAAGGTGAGCGAGACAGAGTGAGAGATGGCTGCCTGATGAAGGAAATGAATAGATGGAGGACACTCAGCAGACAGGAGATAGAAAGAGAGATGAAGGAACGGAGACAAAGTGCTTGTCTGGTCTGTCACGCCGCAGCCCTGTGGACATCAGTGTGTGCATGCGTGTTTATACCTTTAAGCAGCAAATGTTTTTACAGGAAAACAAGTGTGAGGATCATCCTCCGTACAGATAGTAGTAGTTTTTATTTTATTTTATTTTTTGCTCCCCTCACCTTGCATCACCTAAAACATCACAACCGCTTTTCCCCTACAGTTTAATTTAAAATGTTGTTGGTCTTGGACTTTACTTTAGAAGCACAACCTTTACAAAAAATAAACCCCGCTGACAGGTGAGGACAGTCATTCTGTTTGGTGAAGTCGAGCTACAGTTTTAGTTCAACAAGTCTGTAAAAACTCCACAATAGTCCTGTTCTGACTTGTATTTGACTTTAGTCATGTTTTAATCTTTGTTTCATGTATACATTTTATATATATATAAACTCTGTGGTACTAATTTATTTTTAAAAACTGCTTAAGTTTAAGTCATAGAGCACGTCCAGTTTGTTATAGACGGAGTAAACTCAGGATAGTCTGCCAGTCAATTCAGGGTCCATTTCCAGTTCCCTAAGAAAAAACAAAGCACAACCAGGGAGAGTGTACCATCTCCATACAGAGAGACAATCAACTACCACTGCCACCCTAACCTGTGATCTTCTCCCTGTGAGGCAAGAGCTTTGACCACTCTTTCACTGCATGAGCCAAGTTTGCCTTTCAGCTCTTTTATACAGTGAATGCAGCTCAGCCACTGAGTTTACAGCACTTTGACCTGGAACAGTCAGCCTAATCAGCAGAAAGAGAGCAAACATGGATACATGTTGAAGCTTCAGTCAGAATCTCTGCATCAACCACTTTTAGCTGTGTCAACAAGAGTGTCATCGCACAATTTAAACTTTTTTGTTCAAATGCTTTGCACAGACGAAATTATGAACAAGAAAGAAGGAGTTACTGGAATTCAGTGTATATGGACAAATTACATGGAAAAAATATACGCATAACTCAATAGTTTTGTTCAGTTTTTAAAGGAAAATTTGAAATATGTAAAATAAAAAAATCAAGACCCATTTTAGTATAATCCAATCTCCATTTTTCAATAAAAAAAGTTGAACATTGCTGAGATTCGTTTCTACGTGATATTTCTTTGTGTCCTTGTACCACTTAGAGCACCACGGGGAGAGGGAGGGCTTTCTGCGAATGACATGGTGGACCCAGGACACCATTCAAAACCGCTACATGTTCTCACTTTGTGCAGGCTATTCAAGAGGAACCTCCATGTGAAAGGCAGCGTTTGGAACGAGACTTATTATTACCTGTGAAGCGGCGAGCGCCCCTGTGAACTATTCTAATGCATGAATGGGACGTTGGGGTAGGCCTGGAGGACTGGGGAGCTAAGAGGGAGGGATGCAGGGAGAGGGATAGAACATGAGAGGGAGACTATTGTGTCACCTTACTGTGCATATCTGCAAAATCTCAAGATGTTTGTAAATGAAAAGCCACAGCAGTTAACTCTTTAGGGGGCAGCACAGGGTCTCTTTAAAAAAAAAAAAAAAAAAACTACGGAAAAACAACAGCAGGATTTAAAAAAAAAAAGACGCACGGTACCTCATATACTTTGCAAACAGGGGTTTCATCAGTACGACTGAATAAAGAGGAGAAGCGGCTACAGAGGCTGAGGGGGAAACAGAGGAGAGAGAAGGACTGAAAACCTCATTTCCACCCTCCAATGAGTCTCTCCTTCTCACTGTAAGAGATTACTACACAGCATATATACTGACAGCATGCTGTGAGTACGCATGCAAGTCTGTGCATATATAAAACACACATATACTTTATATGGACATATATACATGTGTATGTGTCCGTGGATAGATGGATGGATGGTTGGATGGATGGTTGGATGGATGGAGGGGCTCAGTATGTAACTTCACCCTGACAACAACGTTTCTTCAATTACACTCATCAGTTTTAAAAATACACTTATACACAGGGTTTTACTGTGACATCAGGGTGTCATCATCCTCATGGGCTCCTATTATCAAGAACTCATGTCTCGCATACTCAAAATTCCCATAAATAATGGTGAAGTGAAAGCTGATACGAGTGGCATTCATCCACATCTTCGTCCATCTGTTGCACAAGTCAAAAATGTCACTGTGTGTGTGTTTGTGTCTATCTGCATACACACACGTTCTATAAACAAGTACATGAATACGTTTGATCACTTGTTGTGACCCAGCCTTGAGCCTCAGCCCTGGAGATGGAGTATTGGAGCTGGAATCTCTCCAATCAATAGCAAATCAGCCAACTGGAGAGAGAATAGAAGAAGAATAGAAAAAGGACAACAAAGGTGTGCCCCGCTCCCCCCTTGCCCCCCCCCTCCCCCCCCCCCCCACCCCTCCACCCCCCCGGTCCTTCCTACAGGTGAACAGTGGTGGAGGTAAAGAAAGCGGCAGAGAGCGCCGGCCTTTTCACTACCACGGCGCTTCACCGTCTCTCCTTACACTGCTAAACCACATGCTGCTCTGAGACACATTTTCCAGAGAGGCACAAGGACTGCCAGAGTGAATTTAAACTTGATTTTAACAGGCATGTTCCTGGCCAGGAGGCAGAGAAGAGTATTTTTAGAACTATCCCCACATCCCAATTTATGGGCATAAAACAACCTACAGATTCCAGACTGCAGGCGATCTTAGGGAACGGGGGAAGATCAAATTATTAATCACCTCCAATCACACACACACACACACACACCACCTGAGAGCAACGCAGCTCTGTTTGGGGAGCGTTACACCAGATTGGTGTCCAGGGCAGTATTTGTGGGTGTCTGTGGGCACGGTGTTTGTGAATCAGACTGAGTAAGCAGCAGCAGAAGCACGAATGTTTGAGCTTCGTCACCAGGAACCAACACAACACCTGTTCTGTGCGGTTCCTGCCGTCGGAGAACGCAGGGAGATTCTTCTTCTGTTTAACCTTCACTACATCTTTATTCAACAACAAACCGGTTCGTCAGTCTGACCTCAAAATATTTGGAAAAAACACAAGTTTAAAAAAATTCCACTTCTACTTCTTACTGACTAAAGAGGAGAAATTCATACCAAACACAGGAGGGA